CATGTGTAGGGGTCAGCTGGCAGGGTGTCACATGTGGGCTGCCAAAATGAAATATCTTCTTCTTTTGTCTTTTAGTGCACCTAAAAATGTTGTCCCTTTTGTCACTGCATAATCATCATCTCCCATTAGTTTTCCTTAACTCACTTGCACATTTCCACAACAAAACAAACCTTGCTCAACACCAATTTTAGAAAAATATAGATTACAAAAATAAAACACTACCAAATGCTAATAAATGTATTATATGCAACTTTATGCAATGGAATGAGCTTTTAAACAACCAATAACCTAAGTAAAAAGGCACGAAATATAGGCTTTTTAAGGGGTTATGAACTATCTCAAATGAGAAAGAAAATTTTCAAGGGAAAATATCTCTAGTGAGATGAAATTTTTGTTTTAAGAGAAACTATTTCAAGTGAGATAAAAATTGTTTTTGAGGAAAAACTATCTTTAGTAAGATAAAATTCTATTTCAAAAGAAACTATCTCGAGTGAGACAAAAATTGTTTTTGAAAAAAGACTATCTCCAGTGAGATAAAATTATGTTTCGAGAGAAACTATCTCGAGTGAGACAAAAATTGTTTTTGAGGAAAAATTATCTCAAATGAGATAAAACTTTTGTTTCAAGGGAAAACCTCTCATATAAGATAGAGTTTGAAGTGAACAGATCTAAGGAAAACAAAAGTTTTTTTGAAAAATTTAAAAGATATCCTCAAGAGAGGAAAAATGTTTTTAAAAAGACTGTGACTCTTTGAAAATTGAAAGATGTCCTCAAGAAAAGGGAATTGGTCTTGAGAAAGACAATCTTTTGGAAAATATTTTATGAAACCTCAAAAGAGGGAAAACAATCTCGTAGGCTTAAGAAATACACAATATTTTTTATTTTTTAATGGAATCCTCAAAATTTCCTCAAAATTTTTATTCGATATGATTTATCGAATTTTTACCGAACTTTAACACTTTATAGTTTTTAACACAAATTTCGAATCTAAAATATGATTCATGCGAAAATGTCATTCTTGGGGGTGAAATATTCATTTATGGAATAAAATTCTTTTTAGGCAAATTACTACTTTGGTCCTTAAACTTTTCACTAATTTTATACTTTAGCCACTAAACTTTTAAAAATTATGTTTTGGTCACTAATCAAAATTTTTGGGGTGTTAGAGTTTAACTCAGTCTGTATAAGCTTGTGATGGGTTTAGGATCGAGCATCTGGCAAGCCTAAGGGGGCACCAACAAGAAGAACTCAAGTCCCTTTTTTAAAAACCAAACAATGTCGATGTGGGAGATTATAACCTACCTCTAAGCCCCGTGGAAACCCTAGGATGCTTGTTCTTTCATTTCCTACTTTATTTTCCTATTCAAAGCATGAGAGATATATGCGATAGAATTTTATTTCCAACAAAAGCAATACGAGATTAGAAATCATGTTCAGGTAGGAATAGAAGCATATTGAGGTAGATATCATGCGGGGTAGGAATTATTACTATGTTTGCATTAACTATTAATTGACCGTACTGACTTGTTCTTCTTCTTCTTTTCATTTCCTTTTTTTGTATTATCATATGCATTATTTCATAAGAGGTGTTGATCCGCGAAGTGTTTGTTAATTTTGGATAACCTTTATTAATGTACGACTTTGTTACGTTGCAAGACGGTTTGAAGAGGTCAATTCCCTCGAGTCAAAAGATGACAAAATTAGAGTAGTCTCACTAAATACGAAGAAAGCATTGAACGTGGAGTCCCGAAAAAGCACAAAGCTTTATGTGAATAGACAAGAAAAACAACAAGCTCTAGATGGAAAACTTCAGTAGGGAACAAACCTAACAAAAATAAAGCAGTCAGCCGAAAGTTCTTGGGACAAGTCCACAAAATGACTCAATACTTGATAAGAGAAGTTGAGGCAGTAAGACATGATACCCAGTCAATGATCAGTGAAGCAAGGAGACTTGTCAACCTGCTTGAAACTGTCCAAAGTTTAGAAGATCTAGCTCAAGTGTACCTCTAAATTTTGTTTTTGGTCTCATTGTAGTAACACTTTTGTCCCAATGAAGTTTATTTATTATGGTACACTTTTTGGATCAATGCCTTGAAATCCTCGTGCATTCATCATTAATTCATACATTCATTATAAAAATATCAATGAATGATAAGTTTTATTTTTTTTACAGAGAAGGAAAAAAATATTAGACTCATCTTATCTATATAACACTTGACTCAAAGTTAGACAAATGGAAGCTAGACTCAAGGAGATCGAGGATAATTCACCAAACTACAAAAAGAAATGGAAGAAAACTACAAAAACACTCTGGACACCATTGCAAGGAATTTGAGTGGCTTGGTCGACCAGATCATGGCCAGGATAGCTGGACTGAATTTCATCAACACTCCCGGGACGGGAGGATCTGAAGAATTTTTGACACCACCACCACCACCACTGAAGCTAATAATCAAACCCGAGGGTTTCTAAGGATACCCGGAGAACTCCTCTACCATGAAGCTGTAGGCTTCCTTGACCAATCCTCTACCAGACTTTGACGAAAAGGATAAGTCCAGAAATATGGAAGAGAAGATAAGTCATTTCGAAACAATATGAAAACTGTCAAGAGCGAAGAGAGTTTCTATGGCATTGAAGCTACAAAACTGATCCTGGTCCCAAATTTGGTCCTGCCTCCAAAATTCAAAGTTTCAAACTTTGAAAAGTTCGATGGAGATAGTTTTTCCACAGAAACAATTTTTGTCTCACTCTAAACAGTTTCTCTTGAAATAAAAATTTCATCTCACTGGAGATATTTTCCCTTGAAAATTTTTCATCTCAAATGAGACAGTGATATGGGCAGAGGGGCATCTATTTCATATAATTATGTTGTATTAAAATTCAAAGTTATCCTTACTATCATACCTATTTGGACGCCACCCTTTAGCAAGTCAACATCAAGATCCTCTATATAATTTTCAATTTGTTGCATTCTCGTATGTCTAGCCACCATGTCCCTAAAGGATAGCTTGGGAGGTTGTTTGATAGGTTTCTCTACCGTCCTCACTTCCTGACTCTTCGACACCTGAGACGAGGCCTCCCCTATTTATCATCCATTATTGTGTCGCTTCCATCAACCTCTATACCATTCACTCAACCATCATTCGTCGTAATCAGACATCCCTCATTCCTCGGCTTCTTCCCCAACGGTGTATCGTCATTTAACGTTTCCTGCACGGGATGTTCCAGACTTACCGTCGAAACGCTCCGGACTGCTCCATCTGGTGGACGGCCAGTTAGGATGATAGTAAGTAGAGGTGCACAAAAAATCCGAATATCCGATTTTGCGCAAAAAATATCCGAAACCAGATTTGGGAAAAACCAATTTTTTTAACCGGATCAGATTTTTTTAAACCAGTTATTTTAACCGGTTTGGAAAAAAAACCTAGACCGATTTTTTTACCGGATAAAAAATCGGTTTGAAAAAAACCGGTTAAAAATCCGATATTTATCCAAAAATATCGGCATGGGTTTAAAAAACTAGTCGTTGGGGGGTTTTGTGACCGTTTTTAACCTTTATTTCTTTAAAAAATTACCATTTTACCACCCTAAACATGTATAAATAGGTTGGAGATGTATTTAGTTGATTACAACTTTCTCAAATCTTATTACACAACACCTAAACATCTCTCAAATCTTATTTTTGTAATTTTTTGTTCGTCATGAGTAAAACGGCTGAATCTTCCGTCGGGGGGAAACCTTGAAGTCGTGAGAGTGATCGAACACATTCGAAACAAAGATATTTGGGATCACTACGATTTATGTGAGATGTCAAATGGCTCGAGGAGGGCACGTTGTAAACTTTGTCTAAAGTTGCTTGCACTGGAAGGAAATACAACGTTGAAGAACCATTTGACAAAATCATGCAAGGCACTTCGCTCAAGATCGGATCCAAGTCAATCGAATCTTACACCGTAAGGTGGTGTTTTTGTTTACGACAATGAAAAATTACGAGAAGCGTTTATAAAGTTCGTGATTACAAAAGCATTTTCATTCGACCACTTTGATGATAAAGATTTCACGGCAACAATTCAACAACTAATGCAACCACGTTATACTCAAGTAAGTCGTACTACCCTTAAAAGAGATGCTATAAAAATGTGGCGTACGGCGAGGGAAAAAATGATTTTAGGATTCCAAGAACATCGTTATGGTGTGTCGCTTACATGTGACGTTTGGAGTTCTCTTCATAATACCGGAAATTCTTTTTTAGCCGTTACGGCACATTGGAAATTGTAAGTTTTTAAGTATTTGAATTTATCGAACTTGGAAGTTTTTAAGTATTTGAATTTATCGAACTTGAAAATATTTAAATATTTCAATTATCGTAAACTTTGTTGCAATTGATGACGATGTAATTTTAATAATATTAAAATCAGTTTTTTTATAATCGGTTTTTTAAAAAAACCAATTTTTTTCAAACCGAAATCGGTTACACCGGTTAGGATATTCGGCCCTCCAAACCGGTTAGAATCCGAACCGGTTATTTTATAAACCGGTTTTTTGTGTATGGGAAAAAACCAGATCGGTTTAACCGATCCGGATCGGATTGAAATCCGGCTTCTGTGCATGTCTAATAGTAAGGGCGACAGAAGGGTTTCCTGGATTTTCGGAGGTTTCCATAGGGTTTTAAAATTTTGTTTCTTATGTTATGTACTGATTCATTTATAATAATAAAAGTTTTAATATGATACAGAAGCAGATCCGATATGTTTTAAGTTGGGTTAGGCAAGAAAAAGAGAAAGACGGGCTATGATGGAGATGGAATATAATGGGCTCATTATCTCTGCTTCATCTCCATTACAATTCTGTCGAATGATTTCTCGGGCCCACCAATTTCTTGCTTCTTTCCAAAATTTATGAAACTATCATGCTATCACACGTGGCATTGTTCGATATCAGAACACCTGCCCTGATTTAATTTAGTTTGTTAAGAGAGGCCAAAATCGTCAATAGCAAATTGAAAAAAGAAAAAGGAAAAGGCTCCGAGATCAGAACAGACCCCGAAACCGAGTATTTCATTCGTTTCCAAGCAACACAAGTTTTAGGGTTTTTGAATTCGATCCCCTTTGACAATGGCGGCGATTTACAGTCTTTACGTAATCAACAAATCAGGAGGTTTGATCTTTTACAAGGTATCGTTTCTTTCAAACATTTTATGTTTGTTCCTTGAGAGCGTTTGGTAAAGTTTTTCTTTCTTCTTCTTTTCAAGGATTATGGATCGAAGGGACGCATGGACACGAATGATAGCTTGAGGGTGGCTAGTTTATGGCATTCGATGCACGCGATCTCACAGCAGCTATCGCCTACCACTGGTTGTACGGGAATTGAGCTACTTGAGGCCGATACATTTGATCTCCATTGTTTTCAATCTCTTACTGGTAAGTGTCTTTTTGAAATATCAATTATATATCTTTATTAATGGAAAATTTTGAAGCGCCAAAGCAGAATCGGAAGAAACTGATCTGCAGATCTGATTCTTCCACTCGGTTGACTGAAAGTTGTAGACTAGAATTGTGCGGTTATTCTTTGAATGCTCCAAGATTCGATAAAGGAAATTATTATTGCTCTTTTCCCTCTAAAATATGGATATTGGTGGTTTTGTATCATGTAAGATGATGAATCGAAAATGAAAATTTGTGGCTAATTTACTTGAATATATAAAATATAGAAAGCTCGACTAATATGTATCAAACGCAGTTGGCAAAGCTTGCTTTCCACTTTCTTGAAGCTTGAAACCATAGTACTAGAACTGTTGCCAGTGAAATACTCAGTAATTTAATTCTATATTGCTTTAACTTGAAGATGGGATGTCAAGATCGGATTATCTATTGCCTGATTGTGCCATTAGGGACAGACTAAGTCTTACCAATTAGAAGGAAAAACCTGTTATATCCGGTTGTGCCATTAATGATAAGTTCAACCCTTGAGACTGTATTATCGTAAAAATCACCATACCTGAAGGGTTGTTTACTCATTACCCCTTGTTAGTCTCGTGGCAATTTATGCAGGATGATTTTCTCGTTCTTGCATTTAACACGGGTTGGCATTTTACGAACATGGTTTGGTTGGGAGTTAGTGTCATGTGCAAGTTTTCTGAAACCATGTTTTTGTAGACAACTAAACAGTATGTTCTCTATAGTGTTGATTTTGGAAATATGTTTGTTATGATTTACAGGGACAAAGTTCTTTGTGGTTTGTGAACCTGGGACACAGAACATGGAGGATCTCTTGAAAGCTGTCTATGAGCTCTACACAGATTATGTTTTGAAGAATCCCTTCTATGAGATGGAGATGCCTATACGATGCGAACTCTTTGACATCAACCTTACACGGGCAATACAAAAGGATCGCGTTGCACTTTTGGGACGGTAAACTGTCCTGGAACCTTCAACTCACCATCTGTTATTTTCGTCCTCACTCTCGATGGAAGATAAATGTCAAAGTTTGTATTGGCCTTTTTAGTGAGATATCGTCAGACTCCCTTGCTTGGCTCATAATTTCTGTACCATATACAAACACATGATGTTGTGGCTTGTGGGTAGGGGTACAAAAATCCGAATATCCGATTTTGCGAAAAAAATATCCGAAACCGGATTTGGGAAAAACCGGTTTTTTTTAACCGGATCGGATTTTTTTAAACCGGTTATTTTAACCGGTTTGGAGAAAAAAACCCAGACCGGTTTTTTTACCGGATAAAAAACCGGTTTGAAAAAAACCGGTTAAAAAATCGGTTTTTATCCGAAAAAAAACCCGGTCTGGGTTTAAAAAACTAGCCGTTAATATAGCCGTTTGTGACGTTTTTGACCGTTTTTTTCTTTAAAAAATTACCATTTTACCACCCTAAACATGTATAAATAGGTTGGGGATGTATTTGGTTGATTACAACTTTCTCAAATCTTATTACACAACATTTAAACATCTCTCAAATCTTAGTTTTGTAATTTTTTGTTCATCATGAGTAACACTGCTGAATCTTCCGTCGGGGGAAACCTTGAAGTCGTGAGAGTGATCGAACACACTCGAAACAAAGATATTTGGGTTCACTACGATTTATGTGAGATGTCAAATGGCTCGAGGAGGGCGCGTTGTAAACTTTGTTTAAAGTTTCTTGCATCGGAAGGAAACACAACGTTGAAGAACCATTTGACAAAATCATGCAAGGCACTTCGCTCAAGATCGGATCCTAGTCAATCGAATCTTACACCGCAAGGTGGTGTTTTTGTTTACGACAACGAAAAATTACGAGAAGCGTTTACAAAGTTCGTGATTACAAAAGCATTGCCGTTCGACCACTTTGATGATGAAGATTTTACGACAACAATTCAACAACTAATGCAACCACGTTATACTCAAGTAAGTCGTACTACCCTTAGAAGAGATGCTATAAAAATGTGGCGTACGGTGAGGGAAAAAATGATTTTAGGATTCCAAGAACACCGTTATGGTGTGTCGTTTACATGTGACGTTTAGAGTTCCCCTCATAATACCGGAAATTCTTTTTTAGCCGTTACGTCACATTGGTTAGATCAAGATAATTGGCAAATGATGAAAAGAACAATCGCGTTTGAATTATTCGGTGAGCCGCATACCGGTGCTAATTTATTTACACTTTTAAAACGGGTAATTTGTCTTTATAAATTAGAAAATAAAGTTTTTTCTATATCCTTTGATAATGCATCGAATAATACAAACGCGGTTCCAAGATTGAAAATATTACTTTCACTGATTTTAGACGGTGCATTTTTTCATACCCGTTGCGTTGCACACATAATTAATTTATCCGTCCAAGCCGGTTTGGAGGTTATGAGCCAATTAGATTAGAATTTAAAACAATGATAAAATCGATTCTTTGTAACAACAATAAAAGACTAAATGATTATAAACGATTTTGTAAGTTTGTTAATAAAAAAGCTTTGGGTCCTAATTTAAATTGTCCAACTCGTTGGAACTCAACTTGGATGATGATGCATACTGCCTTAAGGCAAAGGGAAACATTGCAAACATTTCACGATCGACTTTTCGAGAGGGGTCATGTCCCAAACATTTATCCGGATTCGAGTTGGGAAACTATAGCCAAAATAACCGATTTGCTTGAGGTTTTTAAAAATGCAACAACTTTTTTATCCGGTGTTTATTACCCTACTAGCCCGTTGGTTCTTAATCAAATATTTTGTTGGCTACCCGACTAAATGACTTTGAATTTGAAACCGAAGTTTTTCAAGAAATTGGCTTTGCAATGAAGGAAAAATTTTAAAATATTTTAAGGAGATTCCCCCCATTTTTACTTGTGCCGCCGCTTTAAACCCAACGTTAAATGTTGGTGGGGTTGAAACACTAATTGAAAAATTGCGTTTGCTTTTAATCTAACCGATGATGAACCCAACTTTGTCCAAAACCAAATAAATTATTTTAACAAATGTTTTGGAGACATGTTTGCAATTTATTTAACTAAATACAGATCAAGTAGTGTAATACACGATCAAATGAGAATGAATGCGGAATCATCTAGTAGACGTCCAAGTAACATAAATTTGAATCTTTTTAACACTCTTGTAAATTCCCAATCCAAACGATCACGTACTACCACCCCAAGTAGCGAGTTGGGAAATTACATGTCATGCGATTTTCTATCAAAATGACATTTGAAGAGTTTGAAAGTTTAGATATTTTGGCTTGGTGGAAAGAAAAGGAAGCACAATTTCCGATTCTAGCCGCCATGGCCCGTGATTTACTAACCGTCCAAGCTTCTACGGTAGCTTCGGAATCCGCTTTTTCTGTTAGTGGCAGAGTTATATCACAACGGAGATCAAGACTAAGTCCCGAGTCGGTGGAAGTATGCATTTGTTTAAAGGATTATTTGGATGGAGCGGCTCGTAAGCAACATATCACCACCTAGAAGATGCAATTGACGCGATTTGGAAGCAAACTTACACATTGAAGAAGTCGAACTTGGAATATCCCCTCCAAACGAAGAAGGCGGAGATGATGAAGAAGAGATGGCAATGTAGTTATTTTATAACTTTATTTCAATTATCGTAAACTTTGTTTCAATTATCGAACTTGAAGTTTTTAAGTATTTGAATTTATCGAACTTGGAAGTTTTTAAGTATTTGAATTTATCAAACTTGGAAGTATTTAAGTATTTCAATTATGTTGAGTTAATTAAGTATTTCAATTAAGTATTTGAATTTATCGAACTTGAGGTTTGATGCTTTCTCTTTGATTCTCTCTTGATTCTAGTTGCTTGATGTTTCTTGTCTTTGATCAATGGCTTCTAAGCTTGCTTAAATACACCTTGAATCACTTCTGAACGTTAGTGATAATTAATGAAGATAATATAGCCGTTTAAGTGTGAAAACATTTAATAAAAATGCTTGGAGCATGGGGAATCGGTACCCTCTCATAGGGAATCGGTTCCCTAAGTGTAAAATTCAAATATTTCGACCGTTGAATAGGGGGAATCGGTACCCCTATGGGGGAATCGGTTCCCTCCGAGCATTCTGGAAATCTCGGAGCCAAACCATTCAGTGAGGAATCGGTATCCCCTTGGGGGGGAATCGGTTCCCTATGAGCAATCTGGAATATTAAAATCGATTTTTTTATAACCGGTTTTTTAAAAAAACCGATTTTTTTAAAACCGAAACCGGTTACACCGGTTAGGATATCCGGCCCTCCAAACCGGTTAGAAACCGAACCGATTATTTTATAAACCCGGATTTTTTTTCTATGGGAAAAAACCGGATCGGATAAAAACCGATCCGGATCGGATTGAAATCCGAATTATGTGCAACCCTACTTGTGGGTAGCTGATTTTTCGATTTAACAGTTATAAATTTAATGAAAAATCCTGTTACAGGCTTGTTCTCCAGTTATTCGTTCATTATTGTCGACAATCTTTATTTAAAAATGTTACAGCAGGAGACATCTCTTACAAATGTTCATAGTGAATCGTTTTGTTATCACTTTATTGGAGGTGAAAACAGAGTTGTTATGTCGTCGGATTCCGATAACGGCTTAGAAAGAAAGATATGGTCTTATTAAATAGCTTTAAAAAGATATTCATCTCAAAATATCATATGGACTACAACAAACTGAAGATTCTGACACTTTCAAATGAGCTTTAGTTACATTGGCATACAAAGACCATATGCTAAGCACAATATCATTTTCATACAAAACATAAACATGTATCCTTCATTTTTTTTTCACTCATGATGGTATGATACATAGCAAATCCCAGACCAAATTCATGCATGCTCTTAAACCCGAGCTTGATGAATTTCAGAGCTAAATTTAAAAAGTTTAACCCGAAAGAACTGTGCACAACTCTGTTGTTGTTTCCTGCCTAAATCCCAGAAACAATTCAAATGGATGTTCAAATAAGAAAGCAAAATGCAGCTGCAACACAAGGTTTCATCTAAACAGAAAGTGGTGAAGCAGAAGGCTTCGGTTAAGAGGTTGGTTTACCACTGGGGTGGTTGTGACCATTTCTGCGGCGCTCTTTCTGGTTTCTTTTTGGCATCTCACGCCGCTCCTGAAGCTTCTCGAGTGACGTTACAACTTCATCCATGCTTGGCCTGCACTTGGGTTCTACAGCCAAGCACTGGAGCGCAAGGTTAGCGACTTCTTGCGCCCGATTCAGTGAATACTGACCTTGGAGACGAGTGTCTATTACACGGAATATCCTCCGTTTGTTGATCATGTAAGGTTTCGCCCAATCCACCAGATTGTGCTCTCCAGATGGCCTGTTATTGTCTATAGCTGGTCGACCCGATAACATTTCTAGTAGAACAACTCCAAAGCTGTATATGTCACTCTTGGCAGTCAAATGACCTTTCCAATAGAAAAATTCAAATTGATATCAGTACTCACAGTTCATCAACTTCATTTCATATGATCCAATACAAAGAGCTAAATGCAATGGGACTGAACCAAATATTTACAGAAAACAGAGATAGGAGCATTACCTGTGGCTAGATACTCTGGAGCAGCATATCCATAGGTTCCCATGACCCTAGTGGAAACATGGCTTTTGTCACCAGTTGGTCCGTCCCTAGCTAACCCGAAATCGGAGAGTTTTGCATTGTAATTCTGCTAATATCGAATGAAACAACGGTATTTAGCACATAAGCAAAACGGATTCACCATGCCACAGAAATATTTAGGAAAATATTAGTTAAGTTACATACTGAATCTAGCAAGATATTCGAAGTTTTAAAGTCGCGATATATGACTTGTGTTTTGGCATTGTGAAGGAAAGCGAGTCCTTTGGCAGCACCGAGCGCAATCTTCATCCGGATGCGCCAAGAAAGTGGCGGAACATGCGACCCCCCTGTTTCAAGATTAAATTAGGTTGCAGTAGATGGAGACATATTCTTTCACAGCAGTCTATGAATCAAATGAATGTTTCAGACTTTCAGCAATGTAGGAAGCTCACTCCTAAATAAATGATTCTCCATGCTACCCCGAACCATGAACTCGTATGCCAGAAGCCGGTGCTCGTCCTCTAAGCAGTAACCAATCAACTTCACAAGATTAGGGTGATGCAGTTGTCCAAGATAGTTGATTTCAGCCTGTAAACCAAAATACAAAAGCAATAAAATCATACCATCCTAAGAGAATCATCCAAAATGTATTTATCATATCATAATTTCACCAAACTTAAGATTATTACAATCGTATTAGATCAGTTTCTTGTCTGAATGCACTAACCAGCCATTCTTTGTGACCCTGAAATCCTTCTTGGTTGAGCCTTTTAACAGCAATGATTATGCCAGTACCAGGCTTGGTAGGTTTGAGTGAATGTTCATCGATCCATCCTTTGAAGACGGAACCGAATCCGCCTTCTCCTAGGACACTGTCTGGCCTGAAGTTTCTGGTGGCCGTCCTGAGCTCACTGAAAGTGAAGGTCTTTAAATTGAAAGACTGTAAAATCTCAACTTCACTCCGGGGAGTTTGTGGAATAGAAGCTGAAGACTCCTTGCTGCTTGAACAACTTAAATTGTTTCCATTTCTGCTGGCATTACTCGAAATACCTGCATGTACACAATAATTAATTTCACATAAAGTTCCATGATAGAGTTTGAGCTTGTAAGTGATTATCAGATTTTGATTAGAAAACAAAATGACACGCTCAAAACACAAATGGAAATCAAGTTCTTTACATTGATTTTTAGAAAACCAAAGGCATGCATGTTCATCTTAAACCAACAAAACATCAGCAAACTCACCTGTGCTAGGACTGACAGACTTGATGCGATGGCTCAAGCAAGCTCCCATCAAACCAGAATAAAACTCAGATCTTTATTTCTCTCAAAATTTCCCCCTCCCCCCTTTGTTTTCTCTTACAAAGGCCAAATATTCCCAAAAAGAAACACAACCACCAGAAAAGAGAAAAGAAATCGATAAAGATTATCCCTTTTTGGTTCAGTTTTTCAAAGATGGGTTTCGCATGGGATGATGAGGAGGAGGAAAGATCATCATCAAATCCAACAAGTAAAAGACTAAAACACACACAAAAAAAAAAAGGTTACCTTGCTATTGGATTTTCCTTCCCACCTTCCTTTCTACCATTATGAGTAGCCTTTTTGGACCTCAGCCAACGAAACACTGTAGACCGTTGACTTGTTCTTTTGCTTCATTTTGTCTGTTTTCCCTCAAGAAATCACCATGTGCCCCAAGACAATAATAATAATAATAAAAATAATAATAATAATATTATTACTATTATTTTTATTATTTCTTTTTACATTTTCCACCAATCCATAAAAAGCCAAAAACAGTTTAGAAAACAACTTGAAACTTGCATGAAAAATAAAATAAAAATCAAGGGTTTAGAGAGAGAGAGAGAGAGAGAGAGAGAGAGAGAGAGAGAGGTTTAATATAGTAATCAAACTTGGTTTTTTTCATATTCATGCTCTTGATTCTCAGTGATTTAGTCCAGCTCTGCACCGTTGGATTTTACATTAAAAATTTGATACTTTGCCAATGTGATCAATTCCATGTTCTTGTTTGCATATGCGCCATGGGAGGATCTTCCACAGTTGGCTTGTTTGTCATCATTGTTTATTAGTCAATTATTTTTACCGTTCTCTCACATGTTAAGGCTAGGACAATTATTCAGTCATCATGAAGCTTATTTTTATGGATAAACATGTCATTTGTAGTTAAAAAATAATAATCCCGGATAAAGATCTTTCAAATAAAAATGGGCAGATGCGTGTATCGGGCAAATAAATGAATAACATCACTTTCTCCGTGCACCTCAATATTTTAAATCCTTTCATATTTTCTAATATATATATATATATATCCTATTCTAAAGTTTCGTCTTGATTAATTTGTGGATAAGTCTCTCAATAGAGATTTTCTGCATACACAAGGGACCAGTGACATATATAGAAATTTAAGAATGTAGTCTAAAATTTTAATTTTTTTCTTAAAAATAATGGGTATGCTAAAATTGATTTTTTTCTTTTTTCCTTAACACATTTAGTTAAATTTAACCACTTTTCCAAAATAATGGAGATGCACTTGGTCCCTATGGAGGCTTAGTACATCCGCCACTACAAGAGACTCGAACTTGAGACATTCCTTAAGCGATCTCAAGTTGTTTACCACTTGAATCAATCTCAGTTGATTTTTCTAATATATTTTTTATTTTGATAGGCTGCTATTTTTTCGGTGTTATCAATCTCAAGTTAATGTTTGAGTTTTTCAATCATCTCTAGAGCAAGCTTTCAATTTTACATCTCTCTCTTAGGTATCTCTCTTAGGTTATATGAGTTAATACTTTCTAGGAGTAAAATTTTTCCCATCCGTATAGGTAGGAATTATTCAAAAAAAAAAATATTAATGATGAGCCTTTTAGTATCTATTTATTGAAAACACTCAATTATTTGAGAAAGATATTGGTACCTCTAGTATATATATGCTCGACATGAGACTTCAAAAGATAAAACCAAATTTTTTAACCATTTAAGTATTGATTTGTGAAAACAACACTAAATAGCTTAAGTGGGCAATTTGACAGCTGTCGTTTTGATGTCAAAATAAATTTCTTCTTCTTAATTAATAAATAAAGGAAATACATAGTAAAGAGAAGTAAATGTCGATCCATAGGGACATAAAAAATTCCTAAATTTCGGTTTGAATTGCCTTAACCAGGTGTTATGCAGTAGATGAGATGGGTTATTGGTAAAAATGATTAAATAATAAAAAGTGATATAAAATAAAAATAAAGAAAATAAAGAATGTAAACTTGAAAATGAATATGGTAAAAACAACATCAAGTCTCGCTTTAACTCAATTTCCTTCGGATCATCGAATTAGATTTTCTCTTCGGGATTCACGTCGGTTACTTTATCTACAGGGACAATCCTTGCGACTTTTCTTTGTATACTGAATACCCAAGGCAATCTTTGATTCCGACTTCGAAAATTGATATGATCAACATCAATTGTCGTAGTTCAATAATCATTTAAGTTCGTGAAGACCGACTCAGATTTTTGTTTCAATAACTACTAATTTCGATCTCAATTCTCTCTTGGCAAGACAATCTCGCTAAGTGTGTTCTCAGGAAGTCGAATGTATTTTCAATAAGTCGATCATTCCTCCCACACATTTAATCGCAACAACATATTGACCAAAGTCAATCTTTGATTTTTGAAAATAAGCGCAGAGATTGAGAGAGATATTTCGAAGTTATTCTAGTGCTTTTCATTTCTCACGTTGGAATTGAGTCATCGCTTAAGCCCTTAGTTTATGAGAATATTATCTAAGCATGACAAAAGTCATACTTAGCATGTTTAAAAATAAAACTTAAATAAAATAAAAATGAAAACTTGAAAATAAATAAAAGAAATAACTTTATAAAACTAAAAATAAGAAGAAGAGTGAAATCTGAGTTGTGAGTTTATGCTTACCCCAAGAGGGTATTTATAGCATCTAAAACTTTAGAGATAAACATAGAAATTAAAATACAAATAATCCTAAAGATAATTCCAAATATTTTCTAAATTCAAACTTTAAAATTTAAAAATAAATCTCCTAAGATATCTCTTCCCGTCTACCTTCCAGAAGGCACTGACTAGATCTTCTAGAAAACTATTGTTGACTGGATCTTCTAGAAATTGGCACGTTAGACCGTGTCATGCCCATGTCTCCAGTCGTGACCAAATAATAAAAAAATACAATATGCGCTCATCTTACTGCAAATTATTGAAAATAAGATCCTGCACGAAAATAAACATAATACAACCAAATCAGCAACAATAAATCCATAAGAGCGAAGATTTAACAAACAAATATTATCGATTTAGAACACTCATTGGTGGACACCCATTTTTGTTAAGCCCATGTTAAAAAAACTAACAAAAAAAAAGAATATGTAAAAAAATAGTTTAAAAGAAATAAAAATAGAAAAGAAGAAATAAAAGAAATGGTTTTACCTTTTGGTGTTCAACAATTTAAGGCAATCAAAGAGTTAAATTAAAGATCTAAATGAGAAGCTTGAGGTAAAAGGAACCGGATTATTCAACGATGAACGATGGAGTTCATCATAAAGTAGACAGATGATTCTAACTCAGACGGGATTGTCTCAGGAAAAGCGGGTTAATATACGGCTAATATACGGCGTTACCAGATACATTAAAAGATATTTAACAAATTCGGTTTAGCGCTACCGGAAATGTTGACTAATAATAATGTAGTAGGTCTAAGTCATGAAGAAATATTAAAAAATTGTACAACCGGCAAACTTAACTTGTCGGTTCGTGTCGATCCAAATTAAAAATGTGTCGATCCAAAATGATATAACAGGTAAAACTATGACAAAACCGATATTGAAATGATAAAACCGGTAAAGCACTACCGGATACATTTAAAGTGTCAGTACTTTAATATAAGGATCGACACTTCGTGAATTTAAAAGAGAAGCAATTTTAAATCCTATAAAGTGTCGATACTTTTAAAAAATGTATCGATCCAAAACGATATACCAGGTAAAAATATGATAAAACCGATAACAAAATGATAAAACCAATAAAACGTTACCGGATATATTGAAAGTGTCGATACTTTATATAAGGATCGACACTTTGTGAATTTAAAAGAGAAGCAGTTTTAGCGCCTATAATGTGTCGATACTTTAAAAAAATATATCGATACACAACGATATAACAGGTAAAAATATGATAAAACCGGTATCAAAATGATAAAACCGGTAAAATGGTACCGGATATATTGAAAGTGTCGATACTTTCGTAAGTACGTGTAATAAACTATCGACACTTTCAAAGAAATAGGTAATTATCCTTTCGAAAGTATCGACACCTGACATAAAAGTATCGACATTTTTGTATTTGTATCGATTAAATATAAATAACATATCCGATGAAAATATAAAGGCCATATCTAAATATCCTCTGAAAATCGATAGAACGAACGAGTTTTTGAAATCGAAGCGTAATTGTTTCTGCATTTCAGAAGGCGTTTCTAAAGCGAAGTTTGTTTGTTGTTGATGCAGTCGAATCGAAAAGTATGTTGTCGAAACCCTAGTTTTTTATTATTACAGTAATCGCGAATATGGTTTTTATGTGTTGTTTGGGGTTTTGGAGTAAAGAAGCATTTGGGACCGATTGCAGGTAGAAGTGATATTGAAGGTAAAATATAAATGTCGATACTTTTATTAAATATTATAGGTTGAAAATGATATTATAGGTTGTATAAATGTGCCGACACATTTTGGTGTGGCCATTCAAATTCTTTTGAAGAAAACCTGATGTAAGGTACTTGTACCTTTTCAAATGATTGTGGATCTAGGAAGGAAGCAAAACAACCTGCAAAGTGAATGGCTCAAAGTAGATTGGTTAAGGGTGGTAGACGTATGGGTGAATTGGTAGGCTATTTAAATAATGAGTAATGGAAGCGGAAGATAGTTGATAAGGCTATGGTTATGGTGATGAAATAAAAAGGATGGTTGTGAGGATAGTATCTTGAAGAGATCTCAAAGAAGAACCAATGCTATATAGAGCAGAGACCCATTCTTTATATTGTTTCTTCAAGGGATGGTGTTAAGTACTTTGACCCACTAGTTATATGAACTAGGAACCAGAAGTATCAAGATGAAAGGAAGGGGTTGACGCCACAAGTATAAAATACTTGATAAGTCGATAAAAAGTCACCAGGACTTAAGAAGAGAATAATCTCACTTTAATTGAATAAAAGGTCTTTTACAAATGAAATAGGAAAGCCTATTTATAGTTTTTGAAGGGATTTGGCCGAATAGATACATGTTGGTTCGGCCAGCCCTTGTGCCTTCCTAAAATGACATGATTTTTGTGTGAAAATACATGACTTAATGCAAATACATGCTCTTGGCCGAATGTTTATGTGTTGGTTCGGCCCTAAGGATATTTTGAAAGCATTTGGAAGTTATTTGGGCGCCAAA